TCCCAAAGTGCCACGATCCTCGCTGCTGATATCTTCTTGCTAGTGCCTCCTCTGATGAACCCCATTGTATACTGTGTAAAAACACGGCAAATTCGTGAGAAAATTCTAGGGAAATTTGGTATAAAATAAAGGTATGGGAGAAATGAGGCAGGGTCAGACAGGGTCAGGAACTAAAATAATACCTTTCTAAAAAAGTATTATGGATGATTTATTCTTATGTTTCTTAATCATTCTTGCAATCAGCACAATATACGGACTGGACACTGAGATCTGTGAACTTGGGATTGATCTGGGCATTGACAGGTATATCTGCAATATCATTAAAATCATGAATTAGCACACTGAGATGGAATCTTAGATATAATGTTTACAGCATAAGGATAAACATACTTGGAAGTAAAGATTGTACACCTTTATAGAGAATGATTATGAAAGGAGCTAGAAGTTAAAGGATGTTACCCCAGACCAGTTACTGATTTTCTTTCAGGCAGTCTTCAGGTTTGTTGTATTTGTTGAGGGGTCTACAGTCAATTTAATGCAAATTCTTGATCTCCCATTTATGTAAAAGAAGTTTGTTATCAAGTAGGAATTGGTTTAAGATTATCTTTCTTTGCTCTTTCCTTAATAATGAAATGTTGGTATATCACTGGTGGTTCCCATTTGAATTATGACAAATAAACTCCCTCTTTACAACAGAAGATCTTTTTTTTCTGTATACAACAGAGTTACAAATAGGTATAGTTATTAAAAGGGGCACAGATGGACTACTTCACTACTGGAGATAAATAGGAAAGCTAACAGTACAGAAAATGTTAAAGCATTGATGTTATTGATTAACCACTCTAAAATATATGTTCTAAAATAATGGCTCTCATGCTTGTTCAGGTACTTGTTATTTTGAATTATGATATTTTCAATTACACTAAACAAGCTATAAATCCTTTTAAAATAGTGGAAAATATGATAATATGAAACTGTATTCATGCATATATGGTTCTATTATAAAAAGATAAATAGCAAATTGAAGATGAATGGCTGTCTCAAATGATTTTCTATAAAGTTTATCTGTTTCTTATTCATATGTTATTTGTAAGTACTTCAGAGCAGACAAAGGTATAAAACATAAACTTTAGAATAAGTCAATCAACCCTTAAAAATTTGTATTGTGAATTAGGATTTATTGGTAATAAATTTCAAGGTTTACTGTCTAAGGTGAACTCACAGATAATATTGTTTCCATTTAAAAATTATTTTGAAGAAGTTCTCTGATTAATAAATATCCTTATACATTTTGTGTCTCCAGGTGAGTCCAACTGAGTTTTTATTGTTCAATAGCTGACCCTGCCTAAAACCCGTAGCCTAATCCGGAAAGGAAGGGACAATCTTTTACCCCTCCCCCTAGGTTGTTCCAAATTATGCTCTCATTGGTAGTTCACATGTCTGTCTCTCTTACTTGCACTCTATTTTTTCAAAAGAACTGTACACATCAAGTGTGTTGGCACATCTCCCGTACTTGTACAGTGTATATCAATGACCCATTTTCCAACTTGTTTGGGGGAAAACATAGTAAAAATAACAAAAAGCCTTTGACAATTCAGAATATGATGATACATTATAAGCATGCAGAACATTTGGAATGATAGAAAACTATTGCCAAAATTAGTAGGAAGTAATTAATAGACTTTAAGTCAAAAGAGCTGCCCTGAAAAATAGTTCATGTCCTATTTACGCACAAAACACACAAAAAAAACAAAAAGAGCAAACAGGTTGTCATGAAAGAAATATAGAGGAATGCTAATCTTCCTTCTAGTATTTGTCCTCAACTCAGAAGTTCAAATCTTTACAAGCCAGACAAGTCCACATCTGAAGATGTCAATAGATGTTATTTCTGGATCAGAAGAGAGAAGAGGCTAAAGTTTATTTGTTTTCCTCAATTATAGTATGGGTTTAATGCATTTTTCAATCAAGCTTCCAGTAACATTTTACTGAGAACTTATTAAAATAATTCTAAAACTAGATTTACAAGAGTAAACTGGAAAATATAAAATTTAAAAAGATAAAAACTATAATAAATGTTATATGATAGTGACATTTATTAAACAGTATAAAATTGTGAGTAGTTTGCTCAACAAATAAATAGGAAAAACAAATAAATATATCAAACACACCACGATGTGCTATATATAATATGAATTAACATATATTTAAGGAATATCAAACAACGCTGAAAATAAATTGATTATTCAAATAATACTGGTAGAAAAAATTACAACCTATTTTAAAGACCATGTTTGTGTCTGATCTTTTATCCACACAAAAATAAACTAAAATAAATTAATAATTAAATACAAAAATAATTTTTAAATAAATAATATATACATTTGAGTATTCACTATTATCCTAATTTATAAATGTATATGTATGTGCATAAGTATTGGCTTAATAAAAAGATTATATCACATTTTATGTAATCTGTCAATAGGATTATGAGTAATTTTTGAAAATTTTTAATACTTTTCTCAGTTTCTCAATATATTCACAAAAATTTAATGAAATACAATACAGGATGAGGCAAAAGCAGGTTTACAGTTGTGAGTACACAAAGTGCAGTTTACTCTTGTATTATTAGTAATTATTGTATTATTTTCGATACAAACAAATGTAAACCTACTTTTGCCCCAACCTGCATATATGTGGATAATTATATATGTATATACGTGACATTAGCAATTAGAACAACCTCTAAACATATCAAATACATTCCTTGAAATGACAATAAAGGAGAAATTAATGTTCTATTAACAGTTACTATAGAAAATGTTTTTGTTTTGAGCAAGTGAGTTGCATTTTGAGACTGATGTGAAAAGTACTATTTAGAACAATGAAGGATTAACATACATACAGCAGCTTACTTTATACATTGATTATCACAAAACTGGAAGAATGATTGCACATTTCTACAATTTTTATCTTATAATTTTTCATACTTTAAAAAGACGCTACAACCCTTGAGGCATTACTCTATATTCAAACACAACTATTTTTCGAAGTGAAAGGTGTGAATATTCACTCAATACTAAATAAATAATGACCATAATTATATTCACATCAGTTCACTAATATGTTAGCTTTTGCTGCTAATAAGTTTTAGCAACAAATTTAAGAAAAAAAATTTAAGTGTTTTTCCAGATGTTTTAATTTATAAATTGTGAATAGCTGTGGACCTTAAAACAAACAAACCTTTTACAAAGGTCTTTCAAAGGAGCAATTAAGGAGCCATTGATATTCGAAATAACTGATGAGGTCAAGTTTGGCTGGTTAATCAAGGTGTAGTGTGGGATTTCTACTCACACAGATTGATTTCAGGATCAGTCTCCATTGTTGTGTGATGGTTTCTTCTCTCCTATTTCCTAGTTCATCTCCACTGGCCATTCTTTGCTTCTGTACAAGTCCTTTTCCCTCTCTAAGCACAGCAAGGCCTGGGTTTATAATCATGAATATTGAGAAATATTTGCATTTTATATCATCCCCTAAAATCTTCAGAGAATACTATGTCACCTAATCTAGCTCTTCTAATATGCTCTACTCTATGACAGTTCTCTCCATCCCCTGCCTCTAATTCTTAGCTAAATCACATATCCAAAATTCTCATCTAAATTTACAAATTCTCTGAAGTCTCTTTTGTCTAGTTTGTTTTATTCTGGGCTTACTAAGGGACAGTGTGACTAAGATAATGTTTTGTTTTTTTTCTTTAATCTGTGCTCTGGAACAAGATATCTAGAAATCAGATGCATCTTGTGACTCTTGAACTTTGGCATAGTAGCCATGCTTTATCCTGTTGAGGGGGATAGAACCAAATAAACATTTATTCGGCAGTAATATGAGGATGAAGAACTGAAATTTGAAATACAAAATTATGGTATAATGGAATACAAAGACTTCCCATGAAGTGCATGATGCCAAGAGACATTCTGGTGGCAATGCTGGTCTTGAATTCTGAAAAACTGAATTTTACTCCCAATTGCTCTATTTTCTGTATGATCCTGCACTGCTTAGTCTCCACTTAAAATACTGGCTTCTGCCACACACTTTTGTGTATGGGACACAACACCAGGGATATATCAAAAGTATCTGACTATGCTGGGTAAAAGGGAAATCTCACAAACCACTTTAATTAGAAATAATATTTAATATTGTATTTAATGATTAGAGAAAACAGGTTTGTGGTTTGGACAGAGTCAAAAAGTTTTCAGTACTTGAATTGAACAGAAAGCTTGAACCAAACAAACCAGAGTTTGGGAGTGGTAGTCCCCGTAGGCCAGGAGTAAGAAGTTGTAGGGGCGGAGACAAGTGTCTTAAATCAGAATATCTGCTTGGTTCCTTGGGCTCAGACATGAATTATCATGAGGAAACAATTATCAGAATAATTATCAGAATAATTTCATAACTCGGTGTGTGCAAGAAAAGTATCATGAGGAAACAATTATCAGAATAATTATCAGAATAATTTCATAACTCGGTGTGTGCAAGAAAAGTTCTCTCCCAACATCCTATCATCCCTATCCAGAAGTTACTTATTCACCAAACAAATAAAGGTCATGTGAAGATTTCCCATTAAAAAATGGAAGTCACTATGAAATTC